CGAACTGCGCAGAATGGTGACACAATTCGTGTAGAAAAGTTCTGTTTAGCCAAAGAAATTGTTAGCGTTCAAGCACCTTTACGCTATTTCTGAAGAACTAGCATGGATTCGTTCAACCGAATAGTGTTTATTAGCATTATCATCTCATTATTCTCAATCTTCCAGTTGATGAACCACATGCCGATTTATAAATGTTCATTCATTTATTTCAACACAGCCGACAGTGTTATGCAAAAGGATATGAGCAAAAACCTGCCGCAATCAGTTTCTCGATAATGAGCTTGGATGTATTCCAAATGTTTGGTCTTGGTCACAGGGTATCAAAGATCCAAGAGTAACAAATTTGTTAATTTTTCTGACACCATTATATGGATGCATATGAAGCTGATTTTCGTCGTTTGTGCATTTTGAAAAATAAATTTTCTTTCTTTGTCTTGTATTAGTTCGAACAGTTTTAAGTTACATTGATTTAATTTAATGTCCTAAGTCTTTCCAGTTCCTCACAAGTAGGTACAAGTACATTTTGCACCTAATACTGCCACAATTCATAAAATGAGAGACAAATATATTTATAAAATTCTTTTTATACATCGTATGAGTTATTTCATAAATGTGTTGCTTTTGAATGAGTTGGAGAGTACCCATCACCTTGACAAAAGAAGATCATTTTGTTTCATTTCAATTGGCAACAATTCTTACTAATAAATATGAGTAATATAACAGACCAATAGGAATTAAATAAACGTAATATGAGAATGACAAAAAAATCTTATCACAATCTTGGAAATTTGAGAGGACATTACACACTGCACACTGCAGATTATGCTATGTCTCTAGGCAATAATAATATTCAGGGAGATAATTGGATACAAACTATTCGAAGTCATCAATGTTATTTAAGATACCAAATTCAGAATGCTTCTGCCTTATACATAAGCACACTACGTTAGACCCTATCTTATCTATACAAGTCTGGAGCCAACCATCCGATGACAGCTGTTCACTGACATTGAAATTACTGATGTAATTATATGTTCACTGTCTTAATTATGTATGTGTGCGGATAATTGTATTCAATAATTAACAACCAAATTGAAGGCGATATAGCCCTTACAAACACGTCCCGCAAAAAATAAAAAGTTCAAACAGAGAGAGAGAGAGAGAGAGAGAGAGAGAGAGAGAGAGAGAGAGAGAGAGAGAGAGAGAGAACATCACTTGATCATGGTTCTCTATAATATTTTTATCAATATTTTTTCAATTTCTTTGAAACCAGCTGAGTGGCGATCAGCAACGATATGGTTTTGACTTCGAAGCTTGGACAGATTAATTGCTACATAGAGAAAACATGCATAAGATAAATGCACAATTCTCTGGGAATACGTTCATCCCAAGAGGTTGCAATCAGGAGCAACTGTCATCATATACACCATAACATGTATGACATATACTATGGAATTAAAAACAACTACATGCTGCAAGCACTGATACAGGACTAAAGCTAAAATATTAAACATCTTCATTAGGACAGGAATTACAAGTTAAACAAAATATATGCAGTACGACAATATTGAATGCAATTGCTGGTCATAAGTTTATCTATTAAAGTAAAACCTTAAATGATATACATGCAGATGAACACAGCTGTAATATTAATGTCTTTTTTTATGTTTGCATATAGAGCATTTGGATAAATCTTTGCCGGGCCAATTCTTGAAAAAAAGAATAGAAATTGCAATACTCTGGTTATTCTTAAATTTATGGGTAGAGAATTACTGTGCATTTCTGATGTGTTTACCTGTTTGTTTTTTATGTTTGGAATCTCCAAGGATTTAGCAAGCCTCAAAGTTGGAATTAAAGAAGGAAATGACATTTTAAATGAACGAGCTTCATATAACACATTCGGACTCTTTTAAACATTTTGTCCTTAAGTTGTCGTTTATGCTGAACACGAATTTTGTGATAAAAATTGCATTGAAACCTAAGTGCACTAACTGAATGATTTAAAGACACCGAGAAAAAAAATCTGATAAGTGCAAAATTGATTCACCCAGCAAACCTAAATGAAATAGCTCTACACTTTGCCTTTACAGATCACGTGACACCTTTCTATAAAGTCCTGGATTTAGAATGTATGGCATCAGTCTAAATTCGGTTGCTGGCTCTGGACGTTTTCAAACGTTTGAACATTACATGAGATGTAATGTGGTAATAAATCATAGTTAAGGTTCTTAACTGAATTATAACAAAAAGGCTCAAAGGGTGCAAATCGACGCACCCAGCTACCGTTTTCTTTTGTCAATGAACGATAGTGAAGTATCTAACCTGGTTGAGGTTTACTCGTCATGGGTTGTACAACATAATACCACCTCATCTGAGCTATATATTTCTCATGATACCCGTCAACTTCCATTCATCTGTTTTGATCTTTCGAAACTTGTATGTTGGGTTGTCATTCCATACATTGTTCCAAGAACACGAAATTTAACGTCATTATATGGAATATTCCATTTAACAACGGGTGAGGGTACGGCAGCTTTGATTAGTTTATTAACAACGGGTGACGGTATGGCATATGTGACTAGTTTATTCCACTGTTATTACCCATAATACCATTATTACTAGCCAGATAGCAGTACATAACATATTTACCGGCTCTAGAATATTAACGGATATTCAAGATTTAAGGATTTTAAAATACTAAAGATTGTTTTTAGGGCTCCAATGTGGTTTCTGATCTAATGAAATAAGGAGTTGTGATCTATAACAAACACGCTGTGACTTAAACCTTGCGATTTTACTGAAAATAGTACTGAGACAAAAAGCATCAAATATTTTTTGAAAACGATTTTTAAACTGATCAAAATCTGAAATAAAATGAGGACGTGAGGAAAGTATAAAGATTGAAATATGTACAGATGAAAAGAAAACTGAAATGCCAGTAAGGTCTATCATTTGGCTGGAGTACCATTCATTTTAATGATGACGATAACTTTGTATTTTAGTCTGTCTAAACGTCAAGATGTTGATGACTTTGTGTTAGTCTATATTGCAAGGTAATGAAGTTATTGGGTTTTTTTTTTGAACAAGTACGATGATGATGATGATGATGATATTGTTTTTGTCATACCAAAAGCAATAAAGTAATATGTAGAAAAATATTTTAGAGTGAAGAAAGTGACTGATGTAAAAATTTAATTGCAACAACTTCATAAGCAAGTTTGTCACTTGAATGAGACTGCTTTAAACTGATACGAATTATTGATGATTTCATGGTGAAACAGAAAATGCATGTGGTCAATATGTCTATTATTAAAACCGAAGTTTTGTTTGGTTGGCTCCTTTACTTTTCCGTGCAAGCATACGTTTCCTAGAGTTCATCAATCCAGATTCCTATGTTATGAGGATCTTTCAAATATGTTGACGCGATAAGTGATAAGTAGAGGGACGGACAAAGTCTGCAATGGACCACGATACTGCATGTAAGTCTATTTCCTAAATGGTACGGAAAAATTTAGTTTTAATATGTTGCAGGTTTTAACTTTAATCGTGTTATGAACTAATTCCACGGAGATTATATATCATACGTTCACGTTTATTTTGGCTATTTTCGGAGCAGCAACCGCTCAATGCGAGTCCTAAATGATATCCACTGAACAACTTGTAAATTTCTCAGAGTCAAAATGAATGATATAGATGTACGTTCAAAATAATGATAATGCATATATTTTAATAATTGTATCTATCTGTTATTGAATTGCATTCAAAGCATTTCAGTAGATACTATAATCATTAAACTAGTGATTTTCAAAAATATGAAATTAATTTAGTTCTTTGCAATATCTTTACAAATGACTAATAAAATAAATCTTACTTTGACCGATGTTCTCGAAAGTAAATTGACTGTTTAGACGAGAAATAGCTGCGTGACAATCGGCCACGATAGATTATAAACTAGATTAAACGTGTTGTCCGGTGAAAAGGGACTGCCTTATCAGAGACACAGATTTTGGAGACATTCAGATTTAATATGTCAGAGCGTGCTAATTTCACAGGAGAGACCCACACCGGTTTAGATCGTACAACGATACAAATCTTACGATGAAAATTAAGATATAGTAAAGTGAGAAACTGCAACAACGCAAAATACAAGGAAACATTTTGCATGAATGTATAGAACTACTTATTGAGAATTTAATTTCTAATTTTGGACTTTTGCTAGGGAAATTAATAAACCATTTATCTGTCTATCTAGTGAAACAAAAACTTAGATTTCCACTTTAAAATTGATAATCTTTACAAAACCGAATTTATTTCCTTCGATCATAATAGCATATATCATTAATTAAACAAGCATATTTCTCCATTTTAATATATTTCACACATAGATTCGCTTCTCGGGTTATCCTGCGGTAATCTCACGATAACATAACCTGTACAGAATTAGAAGCAATTTTGTGTATATGTATATATGTGATCTCTTAATATTTGTAATTCTTATGACGTAATATGCATTTGTTATCAGGATATCATCCATTGTAGACTTCAGAATGAAAACACAAGGCGTGCTTAAAAGACAGCTCTTCATCATTTGGAAACATCAAGAGAATGGAAACTCCGATAGCTGCAAGACTCATGACTGGACAATAAGCAGATAACATTCAGTCTTATGGAAACAGGAATGAATGTGAGAAGTTCATTCACTCTGTCAATACACTGCTGCCTGCAGTAAATCTTAACTCCGTACAAAGGGGTGTGTGTGTGTGTGTGTGTGTGATTTGGATTTTTAATGTAGCTTAAAATCTTTTCAGTCATATCGCTAAGATATCTGCAATGTGGTTTTTTAAAGTGGTCTAGCACTGTGGCATCATGCCGAAGACATGTATCATGATGTCCCACCCAGTCACGATATCCAGAGACCAGGCCGACCCGTCATAACACTAACGTCTTAATGCAGAGCGCCAAGCGAGGCAGTCGTTAGTACCATGTTTAAGTCTTTGGTATGACTCGGCTGAGAATCGAACCCGCCACCTTCCGAATCAGAGTCGGACGCTCTATCCACTAGGCCACTTAAGCTGTGTCCGTTCAAGGAAAAAATATATGTATTTATATATGATATAAATAAAATATAGGTACAGTATGTATTCTGCATCAGTTATATTTCACTCGTATAAAATTTTTATTAAAAGAAAACTCGGGAATCCTTGTGTCCTTTCAATAAAAAAATGTATGCATCTCATGGCATATAATGATAATACGTATATGCTCCCTCTCTCTCTCTCTCTCTCTCTCTCTCTCTCTCTCTCTCTCTCTCTCTCTCTCTCTCTCTCTCTCTATATATATATATATATATATATATATATATATATATATATATATATATGTGTGTGTGTGTGTGTGTGTGTTTGTGTGTGTGTGTGTGTGTGTGATGTGTCGAATTTTGAAGACTTAAGTGAATTGTGTTTTGAAGCTAACATAGTTAAGCCAGAAAGTTCACTGATTATTTCTTTATTTCATCAATGAACACATAAAAGGGGTTACCTTAAGCTAATAGCATTTGACAGCGTCCTTTTACCGGTACAGTGACATGCGTGCGACAGAAACTCGACTGTAACAGTTCTAAAAGTGCACAAGTCAAATAATTGATTTTTCAAAGGGAAGCCATAAACGCGCTGCTAACTTAAAAATGCATTCCTGTGTAGATGATTCGGTGTTCGTGAGGTTCGTGTCCAAAGTTATGTTAGGACAGAAATTTCAGCTAATTATATCAAAAACAATTTTTTATTCTTGTAATAAAAAATATGTAATATTTCAATAAAGATTTGCGCTTTTCTATGTGAAATCAAAACAATCACACACATTGTATAATAGCTGAAGTTGGCGAATTTAGAACTCTGCAGCAAGGGTGCTGAAATTCCTTTCTTCCGAGTATATCAATAAGGTTTCACGTGTTCATGGAAAAAATCAGTCTGATAACGTACAAGAGTCTTAAATGGTAGGCGGTAAGAAAAGATGAAGCCTCGATTTGAGATTGTGGCAATAAGAACTAAGACGCATGACCCTATTTTGTCCGCGTCTTAAGAAACTGTGTCTAAGAAACTAGAAGATATGCTGGGCAAAAATAAGTCTGTTTCGCCAGAACTCAGAGCTTGTCTTATTACAGATAAGCTACTGTCAGCATAACATTTTCTATATAGTATAGAGATTTCTTAAATACAATACTCTTTAAATAATAGAGTTTTATATTTTAGTATTTTAGACTCAATGAAGTAAAATATATTTCAACTTTTACTGATTGCGGTATTAGTCTGAAATATTGAATTTTAGATTTTAAGTTTTCATGAATTTATTCAATATTTAAATATTTGTATTATAAAGAACAGAAATTATACAAATGTTTGAAGTTGGTAATTGAAGGAGTATCGTAGCTTCATACGTATCTCTTATATCCGTAATTTAAGTTTATGTACATTGTTATTGTTTGTAATTTTATATGTTGAGTATTTCAATGAAATTAGTCCGTTTCGTTTCAGATCCTAAACTCTCTCTCTCTCTCTCTCTCTCTCTCTCTCTCTCTCTCTCTCTCTCTCTCTCTCTCTCTCTCTCTCTCTCTCTCTCTCTCTCTCTCTCTCTCTCTCTCTCTCTCTCTCTCTCTTCTGGCCATGTAAAAAAGCATTTCTAAGAGTTTATGTGAATATGACGTTAGTGGCTGAATACTGAAATTTTGAAAGGAATGAAAGACTTGGGAAGAAAAGACAATGACTATATTTTTGAAGCGGTAGAAAGGTGGGAAGGTATAATATAAGAGCCTGGACTTTTATGACTGACACAATAAAATGAGAACTATTGTTTTAAAACCGATAACAAAAGTGGGCTTTTGTATATACATGCCAAAGAGCCTTGCGGAAGTTTATACCCTTGAATAAGAAATGTTGGCTTGTTAAACATCTGATCTGATGTAATGCCCCCACCCCCTAAAAAAAACAGATGACTACCCTGCGTGAATGACTGGAGATTTTAATCCGCTTGGTTAATTTACAAACAGAATATGGAAATTTAACACTTAAATTATTCAGGACATAATCAATGAATACATTGTTATATGTCCATGTCTGTTGGGTTAAGGAATAAAAACACAGCGGATGAATAGGCTTCTTCCCTTTTAAATGTATACCAGGGGCGTGCAATAACTAATTGCCTACGTCAGATGACCACTGCTACATTTTATGTTAATGTTGAATTTAATTTAACCTTTTCCATTTAATCTTTTTATTAACTACTGTAATACTTCAAAACTAATTTTCGCCATACCTGTGTTAATGAATTTGTTCTAAATTGTTCATATCTCAGATACATTACATGTATTTAACTCAGCTCAGCCTTGCGAATTAGGTGCCCCTCTATAGATCAATGAATGTTCACGTGTGCATCTCGAAATATAATTACAGTTACCGAGTTTGTTTCATACACTGATAATTTCAACACTATCTATATTGATCCATTCGGCATATGCTGATCATGAATGACCGTTGTATATGTAATCCATCATATTGGCCTTGGAGTTAGGGAGTAGTTAGAGGAGCCGTCACGTGTCAGAGGTACACAAAGATCATCTACTCTGTAAAGATATTGTACCACGTGCTGTGTTAAATCTATCGATATCTTAAGTCATTACAAGGAACATTTCTTTAGGAAACAGGTGCACATCTTTGATTGCTTTATCTGCCCTTTCATTATCATTTTTCCTAACGAGACTAGGCAGCCAAATGTATTAAATGTACTCGAATTGCACGAGAACATCACGTTTTTTTCCCCTTCTAATATTTGTAATATCATCGGCATGTCGAGTTTAAGTTCTGCAATGCTTTTAGTGTAAAAGATGAATACGAAAGACGACTGAATTCGTATTTCGACATAGTTCAAAACGCTGAATATGGCAATTTCTGCTGTAAAAATAAACGAGGCTTAATCCGGTAACTAGCTCGAGATGGTGTCATGGGGTGTCGCAAAGGTAGTTCTAGACCTATCTCCATTCTTTGAATTTTCGATATACACGGACGTGTAACTAAGACAGGAGGCTTAGACATCATCTAATTTACTCTGAAACGGGATTTCTTGAAGACGCTTAAGTTCATAAAGGTCAACCATTATTTGTAAGATTTCAACAACCACGGGGCTATTTTAAGAATACTTGATTTTTTTAATAACACTTGATCTTTGTTTTTTTTTTCTTTTTTCGTTTCGTTGATTTTTCCTTGAAGGGTTAGAGTTGTTTTTCAAAGTGAGCACGAATTCTTACGCTGGAATGAATTTTTCTTTCTGAACGTAGAAAATGTAGTAAAGATCATGTGCAGGGTTTGATTGATTAGAAGATAGATTAGGTAGCATACTGAAGAACCAATTGCGTTTCTCTGTGATAAAAGTATGATTCATTTGCCTAACATAGATACTTTCAGAAGAGAAAGCTTCGAATGCATCCAAGCAGAGGGTAAGTTCCCTTTTTTGTATCGGATCAAGCAAATGAAGATAAGACGTATAAGCGAATCAATGTGCAATCAACCTATAGCAAAAGTTTGTTCTTATTAATGACCTGTATAAACCTAGTAAGACCTTGCCACGAATATTATTAAACGAACTTTTTTAAAAATATTTGTCCATAAGGCATCTCATATTTGTGAGGAAAAAAGTTAACAGTCAAAAATAAGCCATAAAGCTTTGCTCTTCAAAGCAAGAAAAATAAAACAATCATCTAGGTATAAATCATGAATATGATTTAATCGGTAGAAGTGCATATATTTTTCTACCCATATCTGTTCCTTGTTTATTTTCACATGTAGTTACTTTCAGCAGCATGATACTCTTTGATCTACAACACATCAAAACAAACGCTTGGACACTAGAGCTTCCGAATTCATTATTTACTTCATTTTCTACCTGGAAAGTGCCCCCTTTCCCTTTAAGTATTTTGGTCAGACTGTATAATAGCTAAAGGGTAGACTTTAGTAAAGAGGCGTCAAACCAGGAACTAACATCCAATCCATATCACTGCAATAATCTTGTGAAAAAGACTGTCCCTCTTAGGGATACTCTGATTGCTAAGCAACCGTTGTTCTACTGTTTGTACGCACATGCGATTCCTTGGCAAATAAACAATGTCCTATTATTTTGCAAAGGGGTTTAAATTAAATGAAGTCATCAAAGCAATGAAAGGAATCAGCAGTGGACAATACTGTCAAATCACTGACATAATATGAGTTAATGTGATTAGGTACTTGGGCAAAACAGCATTAGTATAGACTTATTAAAAGGGTGCAGAAAAGTACTAGTTGTAAGATTGAGCCGGCAAAGTCTTTTCATTTTTCGGAAGCAGACTTATGAAATAGGCTGAAGACCTCCGAGTTCCATGAGTGAAACGTCCATGGCTGGTGATGGCCTGCAATTTTTTTTAGCCCACTTCTGAATTATATTTCAGCGTCTTTTTTTAATCTAAAGCAGATTAAAGAGAAATCTACAGTATGAATAAACCACCTCTTACAAAATTTGGTCTTTTTTTAATACACAATACTTTCTTAATTCGAAATACTACGTGTATTCTGTTTTCAATACATAAGCCTTTATCTTGTGTGATTATCATCACTAAAATATATAATTTTCTCAATTAGTTCTAAGGATGGTCACCACCAATACAGATATGGACTCTGGAGACACTAAATTATGAAAACTAATATCTTATTGCTAATTGATAATCAGTTTTTTTTTTGTCATATGGTCCATGTTAAACAATTTAAAACTATTTTGAACAATCCTATCAAAAACACTGCATTTTCAATGCCACTTTAGATTGATCGTTTTTAACAGTGTTACTTAAAATAAAGTAATAATATATAATTTCTCGAGGAATGCTAAATGACAGCACTTATTGCACCATGAAAAATACCAAAAACAATGTAGTTTTCAAAAATTTGTGTTTCCATAATCCAATCATTTCAAACATCTGTATGATCTGTCTCCATTCTCACAAATTGTTCTGACACGCATACAAAATATTTCAAATTAAAGTTTAAAAATACTAATTTC